CAGTGCTACACTGAAAACGACTCACACATCAACCTCACCCCCACTCACCTCCACGCAACAAACCACAGGTAACAGTGCGTTTAATGTTGTATTTCATGTTTTTTATTCATATATCGGTAAAAAAAGAAAAAGTATTTATAAGATTTAATTTGATCAAAATATCATAATCATAAAGGGACCAGTGCTACACTGAAACCGGCTCACACATCAACCTCACCCCCACTCACCTCCACGCAACAAACCACAGGTAACAGTGCGTTTAATGTTGTATTTCATGTTTTTTATTCATATATCGGTAAAAAAAAGTATTTATACGATTTAATTTGATCAAAATATCATAATCATGAAGGGACCAGTTCTACACTGAAACCGACTCACACATCAACCTCACCCCCACTCACCTCCACGCAACAAACCACAGGTAACAGTGCGTTTAATGTTGTATTTCATGTTTTTTATTCATATATCGGTAAAAAAAGAAAAAGTATTTATAAGATTTAATTTGATCAAAATATCATAATCATAAAGGGACCAGTGCTACACTGAAACCGACTCACACATCAACCTCACCCCCACTCACCTCCACGCAACAAACCACAGGTAACAGTGCGTTTAATGTTGTATTTCATGTTTTTTATTCATATATCGGTAAAAAAAGAAAAAGTATTTATAAGATTTAATTTGATCAAAATATCATAATCATAAAGGGACCAGTGCTACACTGAAACCGACTCACACATCAACCTCACCCCCACTCACCTCCACGCAACAAACCACAGGTAACAGTGCGTTTAATGTTGTATTTCATGTTTTTTATTCATATATCGGTAAAAAAAAAGTATTTATACGATTTAATTTGATCAAAATATCATAATCATGAAGGGACCAGTTCTACACTGAAACCGACTCACACATCAACCTCACCCCCACTCACCTCCACGCAACAAACCACAGGTAACAGTGCGTTTAATGTTGTATTTCATGTTTTTTATTCATATATCGGTAAAAAAAGAAAAAGTATTTATAAGATTTAATTTGATCAAAATATCATAATCATGAAGGGACCAGTGCTACACTGAAACCGACTCACACATCAACCTCACCCCCACTCACCTCCACGCAACAAACCACAGGTAACAGTGCGTTTAATGTTGTATTTCATGTTTTTTATTCATATATCGGTAAAAAAAAGAAAAAGTATTTATAAGCTTTAATTTGATCAAAATATCATAATCATAAAGGGACCAGTGCTACACTGAAACCGACTCACACATCAACCTCACCCCCACTCACCTCCACGCAACAAACCACAGGTAACAGTGCGTTTAATGTTGTATTTCATGTTTTTTATTCATATATCGGTAAAAAAAGAAAAAGTATTTATAAGATTTAATTTGATCAAAATATCATAATCATAAAGGGACCAGTGCTACACTGAAAACGACTCACACATCAACCTCACCCCCACTCACCTCCACGCAACAAACCACAGGTAACAGTGCGTTTAATGTTGTATTTCATGTTTTTTATTCATATATCGGTAAAAAAAGAAAAAGTATTTATAAGATTTCATTTGATCAAAATATCATAATCATGAAGGGACCAGTGCTACACTGAAAACGACTCACACATCAACCTCACCCCCACTCACCTCCACGCAACAAACCACAGGTAACAGTGCGTTTAATGTTGTATTTCATGTTTTTTATTCATATATCGGTAAAAAAAAAGTATTTATACGATTTAATTTGATCAAAATATAATCATGAAGGGACCAGTTCTACACTGAAACCGACTCACACATCAACCTCACCCCCACTCACCTCCACGCAACAAACCACAGGTAACAGTGCGTTTAACATCATATTTCAGGTTTTTATTCATATCTGTATTCTGTTATTAACTGAAAATTTGTCGAAAAATATCTGTGAAAAATATCAGTTTTATTGGTTGAATGAGGCATTTTGGATTTAGTGAATGAACAAATTCGAAGTGATAGAACAAACTAGACTTTTGCCGAGTTTTTAAAACATCGTTCAGAGAACCTAAACATATGAATGCATCACGTTGCATTGATTTGGACATTTTTTTCAGCCATTCTTTTTTTTGCATTGTGATAATATTATTGCATTTCAATTTTTAGGACATATTTTTACAATAAAAATCTGGGCCCGTATTCATAAAGATTCTAAGAATCTTCTCAGAAAACTCTTAATTTAGCTTAAAAACTTGTATGCAGGAGTCTTAGCTTAAGAGCGATTCGGGACCAATCTGAGAGCAACTCTGAGTAAGGAAAAGACCAAAACTTTCATCTTAGTGAGGAGGCGGGGCTGACCCCATTGCTATTTATGACACAATCTTTTGAAGACTGTGATTGGTTGGTTGTCCAAGAAGGAAAAAAGAGTGATTTTAACTATAGGGTCTATTCTAAGCCTTCACTTTGAAATGACATGCGTAATTTTCCTATTTGACCGTTCTCACACACACATTATATAGGCCTATGTGTATATAAATCCTTTTTTTAATTTACCATGCTGTTAATTTCCTATAAGGTATTTGATTGGCTTAGAATGATAAAAATTGATCCACTCTTTCCAATTACAATGATTGCCGGCATGTCTATTTAAGTGGTGGTTTGAATGTTGGTTTTAATGTAACAAACATGGAATCAAAACCAAGAAGGACGAGAAACCCCGACTGGACAGAGGAACAAGTGTTTACTGTTAGCCCAGTTAGTGGATGAACACAAGGCCATCCTTAAAGGAAAATTCGGGTGTCAATCTATAGCGTCTTATTAAAGGTGGTGTATGTGATTTTCTTTTTGACCATTTTTTCAAAATCACTTGAAATCCTATTCCTAACCCACTTACAGCCTCTGAGTTAGGAGCACTGAAATGAAAATTAAGCAATTTAATCATCTGTGAAACGGGCAGGACTCGAAAAACTCCAGCCAATCATTTCTAAGACCACCTAGAATCATTGGACAGTAAGTGCGTCAATCAAACGGTCGTACCATCCCCCCTCCCCCCATCCCCCTCGAGCGAGTCAGGGCCAGCGTTGGAGGAAAGAAGGTAGGACCTTTTGAGTTGTGTATTTTCAAAATCTGCCGGCCGTTTTGCAAATCACATACCCCACCTTTAACTCACTGTCATCCATTGTCTGCAACACATTTCTTCTCCATCTTCGTCTTTCTGCCATCTCTCCTCTGCTAAAGAAACTCTTAAGCCTCTTAAAAGTCCTCGTCCGTACTCCTAACAATTTTGACCTTAAGACCTCTTTTAATGGTTAAGATACTTTCTGAATGACTTTTTTCTTTGCTAGGATTTTTTCTTTAATTTTAAGAGTAAACGCCCACATTTCTAAGAATTTTCTTAGAATTTTGTCACTAGGAGCTACTCTTTGCATTAAGATTCTTTATGAATACGGGCCCTGGTCTACTATGTTGGGTCACCACATGATGTGCAACATTCTTACATCTCATACAGGACTGTGTAAAAGTATTTACTGTATATGATAAACATTTGATCTAATAACCATTATCATTTAGAGGCTATTGGTAAAGATGGAAAACCGACAAACACACCAATCTCACCCTCACTCACCCCCACGCTACAACAAAACACCAGTTCCACTGCAGGTAACACTGTATTTAACATTACATTTCAAGTTTTTTTTCTTTTTTTTTTTCGCAAATGTATCAGTTTTTCTCCAGCTTATTTTGCTTAAATATATTGCCAAGTTCAGGCATTTTACATTTTGATTGAAGGACATTTAAAAATAAAAGAATCTGGTACTTTGTTGGGTCGCCGCATGATGTCCAACTTCCTTATATTCCATACAAGACTGTTAAAGTATTTAAATCATAAACATTTGATCTAATCACCATTATCATTTAGGGGATAATACTACTGGTAAAAACCAGACAAACACATCAACCTTACTCCCACTCACCTCCACGCAACAACCACACACCAATCCCACTGCAGGTAACATTGTTTTTAACAGTACATTTCTTTCTTTTATCACCAATTTATCATTTTTTCTTCAGGTTATTATGCTTAAATATAATGCCATATTGTTGAGGTGAGGTTGTGTATTTTGTAGTAATAATACATTTCAAAATAAGGATTTTTGTAAATTATTTTTTTATAAAGGAATCCGGCACTAAATTGAGTCGCCACTAATGTCCAACTTCCATATATTCCATACCGGAGTATTTATAAGATAAACATTTTATTTAATCTGTTTTTCTTCAGTCTATATCATGTAAATCAATTAGCATATTGTTGAGTTTGTGCAGAGTATGCTGGGTCGCCATGTGATGTCCAACCTTCTTACATCTCATGTATGACTCTGTAAAAGTATTTAGATAAACATTTTTTGATCAAATAACTATTATAATTTAGAGAACATTACAGATTGCAAAAACCTGTCCTGCTCAACAACCTTACCCTCACTCAACACCACGCAACAACACGAAACCAAACCCACTGCAGGTAACACTGTATTTAACTTCATCATGTTTTTATTCGCTTCCTAATTTGTCCATTTGTCTTTAGCCTAGGTCATGTAAATACATTTGCATATTGTTGCGCTTATAAGATAAACTTAATGCAACCATCATCATTTAGATGAATGTGTAAACCTGAATACAGCCAAAGTACTCTCACCCCCATGCAACACCTCACATTTTAGCCATGCTGTATATTATTTGTGTGAAGCAATAGAGTGAGCTAAATGAGTTTGCAGTACTTCAATATCCGGGTCAGCGAGTTTTAACTCTTTTATTGTCACTTACCACCTCAACAACCTTCAGGGAGCGTGACCACCTCACCTACAAACACACTTCTCACCTCCAGTCAATCCAGCTCAACCTTACCCCCACCCACCACCAGTATCACCATGGGTAACACCAACGCTCTCTGTGCTCTCTGTACAAATCATCACTGCTTATTGTGATCTAATTCCATGATTAACTTGTAAATATGTGCTTTTCTCAGGTACCACAGAAGACCCAAATAAATGTGAGTGTTTGTTTATTGCACCTGTTGTATGAAGTCAACTGTGATTGTGTTGTTCAGGATCAGGACATATAGTTATCAATTTGTGAATGTTCCTACACAATTTCACACAGGTGAATACAACCTTACGATGAAAGGAGCTGGAGAAAAAGCTCACTTGGTGAATATCTATGGCTCCCCTGACCAAACGTACACAGTCACGTTAAAGGATAAGAACGGAGAGACTGTGAAGGAAACACCATCTGAAACTAGTCCCGTTAAAATTCTGTTTGAATGGTTAAAACCATGCACTAATTACACTGTCAGTGTAAATGGTTGCGAACCCAACGGAGGCCTGACTTTTACTTCCAGTGGTAAGTGTGTTACACTGGCAGTTAAAACACTACTCAAACAGCAAGCTATGGGAAATACTGTACACTGACCTCAAACAAATATATGGACAATTAAGTCACTCTTAAACTTTTCTGGTTTGATCATAGTTGTAAAAACAAAAAAATACTGGTTTTATAATTAGTAACTTATTGCCAATAATTTTTGAATGTGTCTTTTTTTTAAGTATCCAAATACTTTTTGGGGACTTTGTATTATTTCTTTTGACAGATTGGAACAATAACACACAATGTATACTGTATGTCAGCTTCTTGAACTGCCATTTGCATTGTTTTTTTTTTTTTTTTTTTTTTTTTTTTTTGCACAGAAAAAGGAGAAACTGATCCCAATTTTTTTGTGACAAGTGTGACCGATGAGAAAGTGTGTTTTAAAGGAAATTTCAGTGATGAATGGAATCTTACTGATTGTGTTGATATAAATGTGAACGACTCTTGCAAAGTCATACCGAAGGACTTTAAATTGGACACATGTGACTACACAATGAAGGTCCTTATGCCCCCAGGTTGGTATTTAATAAACTGAACGGATGTATCATTATTTAATTAATTTGTCATTGTGAAAATCATTCTCCATTTTTAAATAATACTAATAGTAATACATTTTTACAGCTCTTTAATCACAAATGTCTCTTTTTCACATCATGAGTTTGAATTTGAGTAGAACCGGCCACAGCACAATGATATTAATTGCAAAAATAATTTATAAAATTTCTATAGCATTTCAAACACTGGTTATTTGCATCTGGAAATTCCCCAGATGTCCTGTGTATCATAAAAAGACCAGTTTAAACACAGTGATGTGATCAACTGGATGTTTCTGTTTCAGTCAAACCTAAAATACGCTTCAATACAACTATTCCCTCTCAGTTCGAATGGACTAATAAACCAGAACAATGTAATGCTTCATTTAAGATCACTTGCGGTAAGTGTCATTTGACAGTAAGTAATGGAAATGTTTCAGCGATGTTGTAAAAGATGATTAAGCAGACTGATAATAATTGAGCAGATTATGAATGAGTTTTCTCCTCTTTCTTTGTCAGATGGGAAGGATACTTATGGTTTAAACGAATCAGTGTCATTATTACCTAACAAACGTTATTCCTGCATTGGAGAATACAGTTATGAGTATCAACCCATCAAGAGTGATAGTCACCCCTTTAAAATAAAATGTGGTGAGTTGCTGAACAGGCAGGTTTGGTTCAAAGTTTGTATCTTTGAATGTTTTTATCACCCCTTTAACTTGTCACAACAATTAATCATTTCTACTCAGTTTTATTAGGTACAACTTGTACCTCTTTGACTTATGGGCACCAATTAAATTTGAGCTCATAATTTTAGTGGGAATTTATTTTGAAGTCTATAGCACAGACAGTTTTCAAAGCTTTACAAAAAGAAGCTAGCTAGGTTTAAAATTATAAAACAATAGATAAACTGTTGAAAAGAAATCGAATATCTATAATTTTATATGGACAGAATATTCGTTTCGATTTTTTTTCCTTTTTGATTTTCTACAGATTTCCAGAAGAATGGAGAATTTACAAGTACATCCAACAGCTCCTTTGGTATATCCTGGAATTCAAGAAATGATAGTTGCTCTGGGGTTAAATGGACCGATTATACAGCCAGCTGCGAACCCCTTCGTGGCCATCGTACATCTCGTATGAGTTTACTCTTTATTTTAGTTCTCCCAGTTAATTATCATTTGAATGTGTTATATGTTCACAATGTAGGCATATTTTCTTTGTTAATACTCTGAGGACTTTAATGATATAAGCAATGTTAGCAGGTATTTAATGTCTTATACAGGTATGTTTTGTCTTTTCAGCGGGAAGCTGTACAAAAAACAAGACGAATGGCACAGAGTGCACTATAGAAGGTTTAGAAGCATATACCGACTATAAATGCAGTATTAAGGCAAAGTTCACCAACACAGAATACACATTAACCGAACTTGAAAAAAAAACTAATTCTTCCAGTAAGTGTCTTTTTTTAAAATATCTCTTTCAATATATTTTCACAAATAATACAAAATGTTGTATTTATTTTTACTTAATCAGCAGAAAATGCGAATTTCTTCTGTCTCATTCTACAATAGACATTCCTTCTTTCTGTTATTCTCTTTATTTTTGCGGTTATTTCCTGAATATGAAGATATTTTGTCCTTATGTTTTGTCCAAATGTCATTTTTCTTATGTAAATGATGTGCCATTGTGTTTTTAAAATGTGTTTTATTTCACTCTGTTTAATAGATCCTCTTTTCCAATCATCTTTTCGTTTCAACAACCCTTCTCACAATTCTATTAAAATATATTGTAACGAGAAACAAATAAAGTGGAATGGAGGACAGGGAAATTACAGTGCTGAAATCACGTACAATGGAAACGTACGACTCTCTAAAAATGAGAGTAAATGCGAGTTTTTGTTTGAAGATCTTTACTACCTTGCAACATATGAAGTTAAGGTATTTAAATCACGCTTATTGTCTTTCAGTATCTGTCATTCACGTATGCCAAAGAGTTACATATGTTGGAATTGCAATTTTTAGGCTGGTAGGATTGCAATGTTTTCATTTGTGTTTCACAATGCGCATTTATCCATTTCAGATTATAGCCACGAATAAACAAGGAAACTGGTCTTCCGAGTCTATTGAAGCTTATACTAAATGTAAGAACAACCTTTTCTCATTCTGCCCCACCTAGAGGAGATATTAGCCAATTCAAAATAAATTATGCCATTTTATCTGTTAAATGTATAAAAATGTTCAAAGTACAATAGTGGATCAAAGTGTATCAAAAAAGTTAATCAAAGTTGTCCTACAAGACAAGAACGGGTATTGTTCAAAATTCATGTATAACTTTGATGTTCTTGATCCTCTTCAAATGTTGACTACTGTGCACTCGGTAATTGTTTTTGTTACACTAGCCAATTTATTCAAATGAACTGTATTCTGCAAACAAAAAAGATAAAGCAAGTATTTGGCTGGTCATGTGATCTTAACTTTTGGGGGGGGGGGGGATTTACGTAAAATCAAATTTTTTACGTAAATTTGATTTTACGTAAATCAAATTTACGTAAAATTTATTTACGTAAATAAATTGCAGATTGCGTCTTTAAATGTCCGAAATACTGTAAACAGTATTCAACCTAAGTTCATCCTCAAATACATTCCTCCCTCAGACAACGACAAGGCTGTCATTGGAATCCTGACGTTTCTAATTATTGTGACATCGATTGCGCTGCTCTTCGTGCTGTTCAAAATTTACCTTCTCAAACGAAAGCAGTGAGTGTCACAGTTTCTCCCAGCCGCTCTCTGAACTCTGTTATCACAATGTTTTCTGTACGCCACACAATTAAGCACAGCTTTAAATGTTTCTGATGGGATTTCCCACCACAGGAAACCTGAAGATGAAGAGATTCTTCTTACACGTATGATCTTTAATCTCCTCTCAAAGTCAATTCAGTGTATGTTGAAAGTGAATTGATTTGAGAAGAACTCATTGGTTTTCCGTCTCCTCATAGAACCCCTGCGTCCAGTTGAGCCCATCTACGCAGACAACTTAATCGAGGCTTACAGGACCAAGATCGCAGATGACAGTCGTCTGTTTATGGATGAGTTTCAGGTGATTCTTTATATGATACATCTATATTATCTGCGAACTGCTGTTTAAATATAATGAGAAATGCATTGAGATTCTGCTTCTCCTCAGAGCATTCCCCGAATCTTCTCCAATTACACCATCAAAGAGGCAAAGAAGCAGGAAAACCACTCCAAGAACCGCTACGTTGATATTCTGCCTTGTAAATATCAGTCAAATATTCATAAAAACATCTGTTACCCACAATTCCTTGTAGTTTTCAATCTGAGAATTGATTGTTTTATGCATGGATTTTGCAGATGACTATAATCGTGTTTCTCTCTTAACTGGAGGAGAACGTGACTACATCAATGCCAGCTTTATCGAGGTGAGGTCGTATAAACACACATATTTCAAAGCACAAGAATCACTTTCACAATTTCTGACTTTATAATTTATATAAATCTTTCTTCTTCCCATACAGGGATATCGAGAGCCAAAGAAATACATTGCAGCCCAAGGTATAATTCCTCTTATTAGACAATAGTGATCTTAATTATTTGTATTATTGTGTTTCTGTTAAAGTAAAAATAATAGTAAATAAAGGATAAAAATAAAAAAACAATTGTGATCATTCTAAATTGTGATTGGCCGAGGCACATTCAAAGCGGCCAATGAACGCACACTTTGACCCCACATTGAATATCACTTTTGCTTGGCAAACATAAAATGCAGGGAAATTGTCTACGCCAACAATTAAGATTATTAAATGTAACAATGATCTGCCATATGAGGTTTAATAATAGCTACATTTAAATTTTTGTTGGATGTATTTTCCAGGACCCAAGGATGAGACTATTGATGATTTCTGGAGAATGGTTTGGGAGCAAAAGTCATCCATTATTGTCATGGTCACCCGTTGTGAGGAAGGAAACAAGGTAAGTGGTTGTGTTTGGTCTAGTGTTTTTTAGTTTGTATTTAAGTATTTATTTACTATTATAGTATTTATTAATATTTTGAATTAGCTTTTTATATTAATTTTAGTTTAATTAATTTTTTTAATATATTTTACTTTAGTTTTTGCTTTAATTTTTGTACTTAAAGTGAATATTTATTATATTATATTATATAATATTATATTATTTGTTCGTTAGTTAGTTTGTTAGTTACCAAGACAACATTTCTAATAAGTTTTTCTATCTAATATTTATATTTTATTTTAGTTACCGAAAACGATTATTAGTAGTTTTTGCTTTACCTTTTTGTTAACAATAACAACTGTCCCAAAAAACTTTTTATTTTATTTATTTTTTTATTTTTATTCTCTTGTCAATTTCTGTTCTTATTTGTTTCATGTTGAATGTGTGATACACTCTTTATATATATATATATATTTTATAATATCAAAAAATCATTGTATACTGTACGTTTTATGTCTTTTACACTTTGTTTGGGTTTTGTATCATGTGTGAGGTTTTGCCAAAAAAAAAGAAAGGAAAAGAAAGAGAAAAAACAAAAAACAATAACAACAGTCTTTGCTTCAGTCTCAGTTTATTTCTGATTGACATTGTTTTTTTTATCATCCATCTTCATCATAAAGACCCTGAAAGTGAATGATTTCCACTGACTGCTGCTTGTTTGTCCTCTCAGATCAAATGCGCTCAGTACTGGCCATCTCTGGACAGAGAGACAGAGATTTTCGAAGATTTTGTCGTGAAAATCCGAGCTGAGGAACACTGCCCTGATTATATCATTCGCTATCTGGTCCTGGCCAATGTAAGTGTGTGCAGTCTGGTCATTCTTACGTGCTTTATTCAGACGGTTTTAACTTAATAAAGTGTGTGTGTGTGTGTACAGAAGCGAGAGAAAGCCCCAGAAAGAGAGGTCACACATATCCAGTTCATCAGCTGGCCTGACCACGGAGTGCCCGGAGAGCCCAGCCTGCTTCTGAAGCTCAGGAGAAGAGTCAACTCCTTCAAGAACTTCTTCAGCGGGCCTATCGTGGTCCACTGCAGGTAAGACAGGACCGTAGACAATACTATCGATTTAAAAAGGTATTTGTCTAAAGGGTCAGTTGGAGTTGATGAATGTTAATGTGAATGTTGGCGTGTCGTCTATAGTGCAGGTGTTGGCCGCACAGGAACGTATATTGGCATTGACGCAATGATTGAAAGTCTCGAGGCGGAGGGAAGAGCGGACATCTATGGATTTGTAGCGAAACTACGTCGCCAGCGTTGCCTCATGGTTCAAGTGGAGGTGAGTGGGAAAGGGGGGGAAAGGGATATTAAAAAACAAAAAACTCAATTTGGTCATATAAACTTTAAAACTAAATGATAAGCCTAACTTGGGCTAAATATTAAGAGAACATGCAAAAAATATATTTTGATTTATATCTAAGTTTTATATGTTTAAATGAAACATTCATTTGGGTTAGTTCACCTAAAAATGAAAAAAAAAGTCATGAAAAATCATTTACTCACCCGTATGTCGTTCCATCCAAACCCACAAGAATTTCGTTCATCTTCAAAACGCAAATGAAAATCTTTTAAAGGGACACTCCACCCATTTGCATTAAGCTTTCCATTGTTAGAAACCCAGTCATACTATTGAATGGTCGTGCAACACTCTCTCATTTTCCCCTGAGACGAGAGAAATCCGCTCTTTACCTTTTTCACTTCCTCCTACAATGACGCAAAAATCATCATTTCACGTCATTGTAGGAGGAAGTGTAAGAGGGGGGGATTTCTGTAAAGACTACAAGCACTAGTTCCCACCCTTTCAAACCCGCCCATAGGGGGTTGGATCTAATGCGCCAACAGACCTATCACAGATCAGTGCCAGTGCGTTTGACCGGCAGAAACTTTTTGAAAATAAAGATGAAGGTACTGAATATGCAGATGGATGCAGTGTCAGCCATCTTTTTTGGAAGCTAAGCTAGCAGGCTCTTGTTCTGTGGAGAAAGCTGAGTAGTAACTTTAGGGGTTACCGTCCTCTTTTTCCCAGACATGTCCGGCCGTCGATGTCTGGGATTCAGATTTTGCTTTCTGCAGTCGCCATGCATTGTTTACATGTACAGCTTTTGTTTCAATCTAACTGAATTCATTCTGATTGGTGAATCTGAATGTAATGTTTACATGAACGCTAAAAAAGTGATCGGTTGATTCATCGTTTTAACATTGCTAAGAAAATTCCCGCTCCTTCGTGAGAGATACACGCAAAAGCCGAGTCCTGGACATTTTGGGCGATCTCGAAACATATTTTCGTCATCATCAGACTCATCACGGAGACTCACTAGTAGCCTACACTGTTGTTTATCTACTGTGCTCTGTTACCGGTAGGCGTGGCCTCCTAGGGCAGCGAAGCAAGTGCATTCTGGGAGTTGTTGTCTTTCATCCACATAAGCCAAAAATACATTTTCTGGCTTTTCTCAGTCTAGAAAGCTCCAAATTCAAAAGTAATTTCACATTTCTTCTACATAAATTACCCATTTTAAATACACATTCATCTTTCCAGAGGTGGAGTGACCCTTTAAGTGAAATCTGAGAGTTGTGTCCCTCCATTGACAGCTACGCAACTACGACTTTGGTGCTTCAAAGCGTTCATAAAAAGGCAGTAAAACTAATCCATATGAATCGAGCAGTTTAGTCCAAATTTTCTGAAGAGACTCGATCGCTTTATATGATGAACATCAAAAAGATGTGTTTTGTAGACGAACAAAAGTATTATGGGTTTGGAACGACGTGAGGGTGAGTAGTAGTAATAATTTTTGGGTGAACTAATCCTTAAACATTTATATTTTTTGCTTCACAAAAATATACATTACGCCATAAAAAACACATGTTTGTTTATTTTTTTATTATCTATAAAGAAATCTAGCAATATTGGGTGCATTTTGGTCACGAAGTCTTGCCAAATGTTTCATTTTATTTTTTAAATATGCTTTATTTCACACTTCAAAAATATGTATTAAACCATGCATGTGTTAGTTAAGTCTGGCAAAATTGGATTGTTTTGGTGACAAAATCTGACAAAAAATCTTTTGCAGCACCCTTTGCTTTACATCTGGTTAATTCATATTTAAGCGTGTGTGTGTGTGTGTGTGTTGTTGATTGTTTCAGGCCCAGTACATACTGATCCACACCGGTCTGATAGAGCACAACCAGTTTGGAGACACAGAGCTCTCATTGTCTGAATTCCACTCAGAGCTCAACACCCTCAGACATAAAGATGGAAGTGAACCCAGTTTGCTTGAAATGGAGTTCCAGGTTTGTCCTCCTATGATTGTCACCTGGTTGTGGACACTGAAGTGTTCTGTATGTGTATTAGATTATTAATGCAGCATGTTTTCTTGTTGTTTTTAATAAAGAGACTCCCCAAATTTAAAAACTGGAGAACATTCAACACAGGAAGCGGCGAGGACAACAAGAAGAAAAACCGCTACTCGTCTGTTATCCCATGTGAGTGATCAACACCAACTTTATTGATGTGCAGATTTGAGTTTCACATTCATGTTACAACATTATACATCACATTTACAGTACAGATACACCATATTATTTATTCATTAAAAATGAACAACAATCTGAGTAACCAGCAAACACTTCTGTTGCAGATGACTTTAACCGAGTCCTGTTTAGACTGGACATTGAGGGCAACCAGACCAGTGACCCTGAGGATGAGGAAGAGTATTCATCAGATGAGGAAGAAGAATCTAATGAATACATCAACGCTTCATTCATTAATGTACAAAACTTGACTTTATATTATCTAATATATTATTATTTTTAATTACAGTAATTAGAATGGAAGTGAAAATGTGCTTAACTGTAATGAAAATAATGTTAAAAATAAAAAGCTTTATTTCATTATTTTATATTTGTGACTTAGTTGTATACAATTATGAGAAAAGGAAATAGCAGCCTAATAGTTGATATCGAAGTAAGTGATAATAATATGTTAAACTCAACCACCAAATATGCTTGTTATTGCTTTCCAACAGGGCTACTGGTGTCATAAGAGTCTGATCGCTGCACAGGGGCCTTTACCAAACACAACAGAGGAGTTCCTGCTCATGCTGTATCAGCAACAGACTAAAACACTGGTCATGCTCACCGACTGCCAAGAGGACGGCAAGGTACGACCTCCCACAATACCAGACTGACACACACACACACACACGCACACAGACAGATACGCACACACACAGACAGATGGACAGACAGACACACGGACAGATGGACAGACACACACACAGAGACAGACAGTCAGGCAGACAGACACACAGACAGATGGACAGACACACACACACACACACAGACAGACAGATGGAGAGACAGTCAGGCAGACAGATGGACAGACAGACACACTGACAGATGGACAGACACACACACAGACACACTGACAGATGGACACACACACACACACACACACACACACAGACAGACAGACAGACCCACCCACACACAGACAGATGGAGAGACAGTCAGGCAGACAGATGGACAGACACACACACACACACACACACACACACAGAGACAGACAGATGGACAGGCACACACACACACACACACACACACACACAGACACGCACACAGACAGACAGATGGAGAAACAGTCAGGCAGACAATTAGGCAGACAGACAGACAGACAGACAGACAGACAAATGGAGAGACAGTCAGGCAGACAGATGGACAGACACACACACACACACAGAGACAGACAGATGGACAGACACGCACACAGACAGACAGATGGAGAGACAGTCAGGCAGACAGATGGACAGACACACACACACACACACAGAGACAGACAGATGGACAGACACACACACACAGACACGCACACAGACAGACAGATGGAGAGACAGTCAGGCAGACAGATGGACAGACACACACACACACACAGAGACAGACAGATGGACAGACACGCACACAGACAGACAGATGGAGAGACAGTCAGGCAGACAGATGGACAGACACACACACACACACACAGAGACAGACAGATGGACAGACACACACACACAGACACGCACACAGACAGACAGATGGAGAGACAGTCAGGCAGACAGATGGACAGACACACACACACACACACACACAGAGACAGACAGATGGACAGACACACACACACAGAGACAGACAGATGGACAGACACACACACAGACAGACAGATGGAGAGACAGTCAGGCAGACAGATGGACAGACACACACACACACACACACACACACAGAGACAGACAGATGGACAGACACACACAGACACACACAGACACGCACACAGACAGACAGATGGAGAGACAGTCAGGCAGACAGACAGATAGATAGATAGATAGATAGATAGAGATAGATAGATAGATAGATAGATAGATAGATAGATAGATAGATAGATTGATTGATTGATTGATTGATTGATTGATTGATTGATTGATTGATTGATTGATTGATTGATTGATTGATAGATAGATAGATTGATAGATAGATTGATAGATAGATAGATTGATAGATAGATTGATAGATAGATAGATAGATAGATAGATAGATAGATATCTGCCCAGTTTTTCAGGCCATATCTGTATTTTTTTCCAGGATTTTTGCAGTCAGTACTGGGGAGATGAAAAGAAAGTGTTCGGAGAGATGGAAATTGAGGTGAAAAAGACAGAAAGCTTCCCAACGTACGTCAGACGGCACCTGGAAATACAGTCCTCAAAGGTAACCAAAGTCCTGGTCCCCGGCATGAATATCTGTCGTCATTAACTGCAGACATGTTTTCTGATACATATGAAGTAATTGATCCATCTTGGATCCTATAATAGAAGAAAGAGACCTTGAAGGTGGATCAGTACCAGTTCCTGAAATGGAGAAGTGAACTTCCAGAGAACGCTCAGGAGTTAATAGAGATGATGAAGAACATCAGAGAGAACGGCAATTATGACAACAGCAAAATGAACCGGAATGTCCCTATAGTGGTGCACTGCAAGTAAGTCCCAATACCAGAGACTTTTCTTTCCCAGATGGATGGATGAATGCATTTTAAAATTTCCTTAATTTTCTTTTCCAGCAACGGATCGTCGCGCACCGGAATCTTCTGTGCCTTATGGAATCTCATGGACAACGCATTGACAGAAAAGTTGGTGGACGTCTTCCAAGAGATCAAAAACTTGCGCAAGGAGAGGCAGGGAATGGTGGAAACATTCGTAAGTTTTTGCTTCGTAAATAAAAACAATAGAATAATGACTTTATCTCACAATTGCACCAGTTACAATTCTTCCTCAATGGAATTTTACGGAAGTCCTTTTTTTCCCCAATTTGAATATTCATCCCACAATTACCTTTTTTTATTTTTACTCTGCAACAGAAATGGACTTCCTTAAAATACAGATCTGTTTTCACACACAAAAAATGTATAATAGTGTCTTTCATGGCCATGTGTTATCTTGTTCCATGAATCACATGTACATATTTTAGCATGGGCTAATTCAAACTGTAGCCTATCTTTGCTAACCTTAGCTAAATGTTAAAAGAGTGCTTTAAAGAGGTTTCAACCCAAAACTAAGTGTAGTTTGCAAACGTATATCTCACAAAAGTTCTTCAATGATCAATGAGCAGACTGTATCTTTTGCTGCTCGTTCAAAATGCTCAAGTAGTTGCCACCTCTCCACAGGAGCAGTATCAGTTCCTCTACGCGGCTATAGAGGGCGCTTTCCCGGTGCAGAACGGCTCCGTAAAGACACCTACTGCAAACGACACCGCGCAGATCGTCAACGAAACGACGGCGCTCCTCGTCGAGCCCAACAGCACTACCGGGGCTGAGGAGAAGAAGGCGAACGCGGAGGAGAGCAAAGCCCCGGAGGAGAGCAAAGGCCCGGACAGCAGTGAACAGCAAGCCTCGGAGAGCAGCACTGCAGCGGCTTCACCAGCAGAGGGAGACAGCGAGAAAAACACAACAACCGACGGCACCACCAACGGCCCTGCGGCCACCGTAGAGGTTTAAAGGCTCAAACGTTTTCTCTGCATTTGACACCAAGTGTCTCAAAAAGATATTTTTTAACAAGTGGTTATTATTCTTTCGATTTCTTGTTTTACATTAGAGTTTGACTGTACATTTGAGAATTTAGGTCGGATCAGACGGATCCGTTACAACTTAATTTTCTGCCTCAGGTTTCGTTTTTTAAACTTTCTGTATAATTATGCTGTTTGTGTGGAATCTGTGCATATCGATAATGTTTATTCACATGTGTAAAGGTTTTGCTTTATGATTTGATTTTTAGGCTATCAAATTGCGTTTTTGAATGTATTGTAAAATAAGACCTTACAAACGATATTTTTTATTTTAATGTTCTAGTTTGGAAACTGTAAGTTATCAAAGCACAATCTTATTGCATCTAAATTATGTTCGAGAGCATTGAAATGAAGGCAAAGATTGACTTTGCACTACATGTCTGTCATCAAACTATCATATTTTTCAATGTTTCCCCATTAGCTCAATACACGTTTCCTTTTAAGCAGATGTAACTTATCAAAAAACAATAAAGGATGGCTTGAACAATACGACTGTTGTGTTTTAATTCATTATGAGCCAGCTGGGGGAAACATGAGCAACACCAGTGCTGATGCAGGTTGGACCCTCAAATGGTTTATTTCTCCCGTTTCTGTCAAACTTGGCCTAGAAAAATCATAGGCTAATCGTAATATGCCTAAAAACAAGCCTTTGTAATACAAACATGAGCCACAAGATGGCGCTTGTCAACAAAGAAGCGAGTACAACAGACTTTCTATCAGGCTTTTTCTAGTATGAATAATGCCTATACATTTTAAATACAAATTTCTTTGTGATTGGTAAATATGTGAGTTACTGTCACTGAGGATATAATATTTTAATATGATTTGTGAATGCATTTAATTATGTTTTAATATAAATGTGAATGAGAGTAGGCTATAAAGAACATTTTTTTACATTTAAAACTCAATACATAGTGTAAAGGGGGTGAAAAATGTTTTTTGACCGAAATTATGGTTTTGTTGACTGAGGTCTCTGAAAAACTATTTGTCTCACTTCATTTCATTTTCCCCACGGCCATGTAGTGATTCAGGAGATAGAAATTATTGTCTTCTCATACACACTGGAATAAAAAACATATAGCCTATATATTCTTAAAATCATATTAGTGTAGGCCCAAATCCAGAGGCCAATAGTAGGCGAATTGTTGTACTAAATGAGAGTTTAAAGCTCACTGTCTGTTTTATTGCTTAACCACCACATTAATATATATATAGGTTATAGGCCTATATATATTTGCTTTTACACTTTGAAGATAAAATTAAAAAATGATAGGCTATCAAAATATAGTTTTTTCACTTAAATATAAACCTTGAAATGGTCTAATTATGCCTGCAGCAATTTTGACCTTTAACTGTAAATGCGTGCTAAAGCTTGTAAGATTATAAAGGGCAGCACGAGGTGAACGCGAGCGGGTTTCGCTGTCTGTACGGGTCACAGAGGGAAATTCCCTTTAAATAAATCATCAGTGAATCTGCGGAGCAGCATTTGCATTCAGCTGTCACGTGTAACTCCACCCAGCCGTGCAATTATCATACCATCTTCCGTGCAACATTTGTGACGGATGTTTCCCTCTTTGAACATATACTGTAGGTTTGTGTATTTCTGTAAAGTATCAGAATCAGCCTCTGGGCTACTGTATAGGTTATATAGCTGGCCTTATACTCTCTGTAATTAGTGTGTTTCTCTGTTTCGCCTCTAATTGAGCACTTCAAGCTCACACTAAATATAGCATATAAGTTGAGAGATGTTCAAATGTTCTGTGCGGTTCCTCGTTATGCATGTTAACATGCTATTGGCCACGCTGCATGTTTATAACGGCCAGAAAATGCACGAATAAAGGCTATGAGCGCAGGGCTTTATATGTAGCCTAATGCTTATTCACAGCCACTTTACAAGTTCTTCCTTTTAGGACTTTAAGGCACAAACACTGCATTTATAATGAAATAGGTTTGTTTTAAATGCACACAAACATGGTCTGAGATTATTCATATTTATGTTTATTTTTTTGTATTTAGTAACACATGTTTGGAGTGGGATGTTTTATATTTGTTAGTTTTCTTTAAGTCTTTAGTTGGAGCTCATTACATTCACTTTAGAAACAAAAAATCACAAACAAAAAACTATTTAAAAAAAATGTAACAATTTTGGTTTAAATGTTATTCAGGCGGCTACAGTATGATCTTTGGGATAGTAGCTAATCTGTTATTATTATAATATTTAGGCTTATTTATTTTCTAGTAAACCATTTATTTTTCTTTGTTTGTTTGTTCTTTTTGTTAGTCTTCTTGGAAGAAACACAAACAGATCACTTTCACTTTAGATTGTAATTAAAAACATAGGCCTAAAGTGTAATGATAAACCTTTTTTTTTACGGTAGTGACAACAAACCGAATTTCTCCCCCATCTGTTATTGGTCGGAAAATCTGGTAACCCCGCCCAAAACTCACACTATTGGCAGAGAGAAATGATCATGGATGTTTGTTTGTTTGTTTCTTAGAGCATGTATTTCTTTATATCTGTCAAATAGTCAGACATTTTATGTATGTTTGCACATTTTATGTGGGTCCGTTCACACCAAGGACGATAACTATAACGATAAAAATATCTAATTGCTCTAAATATAAAAGAATGACTCCACACCACAAAACAATAAAGATAAGGCACAGAGAAACAATATAGTTGAAATCACTTTCAGAACATTTTTTTCAACTGATGATGAATGGTTAAACATTGATAGCAAAGACTATACTGTAGAATAACACTCTTTGATAGCTAATCAGAATCTATTCTGCCTTTATTGCTCGAGCATTTAAAGTGACAGACGACAACTGGGGCGCGCACTTATAATAAAGGTGTGATTATCATTATGGTGTTAGCGGGTCTTTATTCTAAATAATAATAATAATAATTTAAACGAACCTAAAAGCCCATTCACACTAAGAACGATAACTACAGCCTAAATATAACTACACGTAGCGTCCACACCAGCGCTGCAGATTTGTCGTCTGCCGCTTTAAATGCTCGTGCAGGATGGATCCTGATTGGCTGTCAATGTTTTCATTCTTCATCAGCTGGAAAAAATAGTTCTGAAAGTGATTCCAACGATATCGTTCCTCTGTGTCATTATTCATAGTTGTCGTGTGAACTCTGCCGTTCTTTTATATTTAGAATGATTTTTAGAACTGTATTTTTATCGCTGTCGTCCTTGGTGTGAATGGGCCCATGAATTCAAAATTGACCATACTTACTTTGTTTGCCTAAATTGATCGTTTTCTGGTGAACAATTCATCCATGCAAGTCAATCCACACACAAAAAATTTTTTGGCTTCATAATCTTTAATCAAAATCTGAAATTTCCCCTCCCCTCTGCATTGGAGGACCTTCCCTGATGACGTAGGTTTGACGGTTTGGGCGTCTGCTTAACATCCGTAACCACGCCCCTCCAACTGACAGTAGACAGGCTGAATGAAAACACCTAATTTTCTAGATCCAATCAGGTGCTAGTTGGAAAAAAAGCCACGCCCACTATTTTGCCTCATTTAGTATTCCGTTTCTCTCGGAAATACGTCAACACTGGAGAAAAGTCGTTTGCAACTTCCCGTTCACGGGGACTTTAAGACACAGGCCTACATTATACTCTTTGGACATATCAAATATTCATTCATAGATGGATCAATGACTATAAATGTGTTGTGGCCCACATGTGGCCCCTACAGAGACGTCCCGAGACAGATTCAGATGGCCAGGCCTCAGGTGACGCTCTGCTCCACAGCTGGAGACCTATAACAGCAGTAACAGTATCTAACTGTGGAGATGATGAGCAGGTCTGGCTTTGAGCGTGTACACTTATACCCCATTTTACATTCAGAAGGATGAAGTGACCCGAGAAGACACAGTAAGTCTGCTTCCATTGAGAGACGACATGATGGAGCTTGCAGCGAGTGTGTTTCAAGGTTTCTGCGCGAGGTGTGCACGTGACCGTCCGAGACGGCCCAGCCCCAGACTGAGTATTCTAATGCAAACAAGGTCTCTCAGCACACAAAGAGGCTACATATCTCATACAAAAGATGTGTTGAGCCCGGACACAACCCACACAGTGTCCAATGTCCTCATACAGTCATGTTTTGTCTCTCTCTCTCATTCTGTGTGAGTCTTGAGTGGTACAGGCCTGGAACAATGAGGAATTCACACACAAACACACAATTAAACACACTTGGTGTTTTAGTCTCTTCGGATCACGTCTGGTATGATGTGTGAATCCAAGATGAAGTTTTCAACGTTTTAGTCTTTTGAGCAATTTTATATCATATTAATTATTTACGTACCTGTAAATGCATCCCACAGTAACACAATTTTTTGAAAGCCAAAATCAAATTGTCATAATATTGAGGCGTACATGCAACATTTTACATTCATTTAACATTACTATGTTTTCGGACAAGGTAACATGGTTTTCGGACATTCAGTGCTATGTATAAAAGTACCATTATTTTTACCATATTTATTTTTTTGTACATTTGTATCTTGGTAAAATCATGGTATGCAGGGAAGTAGCACACTGTACAAATACAATGGTACTGGAATATGGCAAACATTCAGTTAAAAGTACAAAAGTATTATGTTTTAGTATAGCACATATAAAAATGGTACCGTGATGTACCAGATGGTGATACCATGGTAATTTGATATAAACAATAGCACTGAAATGTATGCAAAAGCTTTATGGTATTCTGTGAAGTACTGTGGAACACCATTTACTGAATGACAGCAACTTTACTTGAATTGTTGGAAACGGTAATATACAAATAACATTTTTTGGGGGGCATGTTTGTTTTGTATACTGTGGAGTGTCATGTACTATAAACACCAAATACCATAAATGACATCCATTTTGCTTTGTTTGGGTGGATACGGTAACATGCAAATGCCATTTATTTGGACAATGTTTTGTTTTGTGGTACTGTGGAGTACCATGTACACATCAATTGCCATAAATGACTGCCATTTTCTTTTATTGGACACTGTAACATGCAAATTATATTTATTTTTGGGGGATGTTTGTTTTGTGGTACTGTAGAATACCATTTGAACATCACTTACC